TTACTTTTCAGATATTTTTTATTCTGTTCTTAGCAAATCCCATCACATTCATGCCAGGCTACTTTTTTCTCATTTTTCCCAACTAGTAAATTTAGCTTCTTACAATAGCTGAAAGCAAATCAGTGTTATAGCTTGTTCAGTGTTGTTAATCACGAAGTTCGATATCACCCCAGTTCAAAAATTTCGATTTATGAAAAGCGTCTTCGTTGCCGAATAAGGATGATCCTGCCGTTGCTTTATTTTGAATTTGAAGCAACTTCTCTTATTTGAAGCAACTTATTTTTACTTTTTTGCGTATGGATTTGAGTTGGCCAGAAAGATTTATATGCGAGAGCGTTATCGACAATGTCAGAAAATAATATGAATTTTGCAGAGGAATGGAGATTTGTACTCAAGACTTGGCTCTTTGTTTTCGGGGTTAATAAGGTAAAAGAGTTTCACGAAACCAATGTAGTTTAAATAAAACGTCGACTAGGCGTTTTCTTGGTGAGGGCAATCGGCAAAAAACATAGAGCTAACGTTCTGCACAAGTGAAGAGGGAGAAACTGAGGCAGAAAATAACGGAAGTCAAGAGAGGGTTATAGATAGTACTATAATTAAATGCGCAAAACCGTTTCAAAAAAGCCCCACATTAATTAGGACTGAAGATTTTCTATGACGAGAAACGAGGATATAATTGCAGTCCCTACAGATTGCGAACTCCTTTGTACGTGAGCAATGTGTAGTAGCTGCAAATGCAGAACGCGCGGATTCTCTTGTCTGATAAAGAAATATGAAGCTTTTGTTTGAAGAAAAAGCAAGGAAGCTGCATTTAGAAAATGGTAGTCAGTGCCCCAAGTCCTCATCTTATAGATGTGAACTTTTCTAGCTTGAGCAAAATGGGGAAGACATTATTTTGAGAGAATTTGGCAGAAGCATCCTCTTTTATCCCTTTTTTCTCATGAAACTTACATCTTCCAAGTCTGCTTGCTTGCGATTTAGGTTTTAATATTTTTCCAGTTTTTTTAGTATAGTTGAATAGTTGTAATTTTCTCTCTATGAGTGAATATTTATTATTAATTTGATAAAGTACTGAAATGACTCAATAATGCTGGACTTGCCGATTAAAAAACATGCTAAAATTCGAATATTGAGTGGATGTAGAATACTCGACGATTAACTGGGCATAGCCAGGTATTACACTGTTAGAGCAGAATGAGTGCGTTTTGCCGAGTAACATTCGCCTATTCGGATTATCGAGTAACTGCGTACTTCGAAAGTACGACTACTCGAACATTCGAATTATTTGAGTATTTTGTCCCGTTACACATTTCATTCCCAGTTGTTGTGTAGTAATCATCAGGTGAGCTGCGAAATAAAATGTAAGCCATCCGGAGTTCTTTCCGTCGATAAATGGGTTGATAACAACTTATGTAAGAAATCAATGCTCCACCTCTGCTTTGGGAGGTTCGCATTGGCACATAGGGACTTGGATTTTTGATTCTCATACCTGGAAAACTGTATCACCAACTAAATTCTGGAAAAAAACCATCACACGCATTTTCCTACGAAAACGTTAAAATGGGAGGTAGCAATCAAATCCATTCTCTTAGGGTCTTTGCTTGCACAATAGCGTAAATATAGCGTTGACACTTCTTTAGTCTTTGTGGAAGGAAACAGCACTACTGCACTTTCCAGGAAGTAAAAATTGCCATGGTTCATTCGTAAATGCTGGATCCTATCTTCTGTTTAAAATTGCTACAAAAGAACACTCACCTCAAAATAGCAAGTCCATATTTTTAAGTCATTTGGATGGACTATTTCTTGTCCCAGAGGCTAGAGTGGTGGTATAACGCTTATTTTTCATCACACTATAAAAAAATTCCAGATAAGCTGTTCGGACAAAAATAACGAATTTTCATTAATAGTTCTACTAGGGCAGATATTCCCCGTTCCCTTCTCATATACAGTTCTCAAAACCTCTATATCATTACATAAATATAAATAATTGAACCAGGTAAAAGATTATGTTACGTCAAGCTTTTACTTTCTATTTTTATGTCGATGTAATTAGGCTAAATGGTTTTCGCAACACATAAAATCATAAATCTTGCCTAATTTGGTATGTATTTCAGGTTTTTGGTGGGCAAGAAGCTGTGGCGGTGACGAAATCGTCAGGATCTCCTGACAGCCACGAAGAGAGACATATCGAAAGGTGTGATGTCGTAGCCTCACCCTCAGACCCACGTCCACCCAAGAAGCGGTATACAGGTTCTGAAGCAGGAAGTGTTGAACTCCCACCAGCTGAATCACCGAGTGGCGCTCAGTTGCCCCGAGCTGCACCACCTCCATCAGCGTTTTGTGACGCTCGGCAAGTACCTACGGGTCGGTTTTGTGCAAAACGTTTTCCAGAACTTTTGAGATCGATTAGTGCTTCAGGAGAACAATTTCTTCAATTACTGTACAACTGGCAGTGGGTAGAAATCGACAACACGCAGTTACCCTCGGTTATGAGAGGAGGGGAACGATTCCTAGCTGTACACATGGTTCAACTCAAATTGCTCAGCAAATTTCCTCCAGCTATTCCTGCAGAAATAATTACACGATTTACAATGGTCTCACACAAGATGAGCACTGTAGAAGCATGGCAATTCAACGCCATAAATGCTATCAAGCGGAAGTTCGACCTTGGCTGTCAGCTATTCACTACACAGGACGAAGTAGTAAGGCTCAATGATGTGCAGATGTTCTACTGGAACGTTAAAGCTCTTAATCTGAGCCGAATAATTCAGGTTTCCATCAATTTCAAGAAATCGGTATTGACTTATTAAAAGACAAATTTCCCTTTTATAGCAGTATGACGCAGAGCTTCAAAACACTAATGGAAATCTTACACTTATTGCAACTATTCAATCTCTCAAAAACCATGTTGAGGCTGACCTAGAGGTGAGTGCTAAATCAAAGCGATTTTACTACTCGTTTCCGTTGACTTCAACATTAGGTTCATGTATGAAATCGCTGACTTTTCTTTCCATAACATGCGTATGTGATACATCAGTCCATATAGATACTCGATATTATTGCTCGTAATCAAAAGGCCACGGCATTCAGTAGGGTGGATGAGACTGTTCTGAAATATGGCACGTTGACGAATAGTGCGTGATGTTGCTGCGGTTTGAACCT